GTCCCATTTGTTTATTTTCTCTTTAGCTTTCATTGCTCGAGGGGTTGTATCAGTGAAGAAGTGCTTTCCGCATATGTCAGAGATTTTGCTGCCTGTGGATGTCTCTAGTATTTTTATGGTTTTCCGTCTTATGTTTAAATCCTTTATCCATTTTGAGTTTATTTTTGTGTATGGTGTAAGTTGGTGGTCTAGTTTCATTGTTTTGCATGTATCTGTCCAATTTTTCCAACACCATTTATTGAAGAGACTGTCTTGACTTCATTGTATGTTCATGCCTCCTTTGTCAAATATTAATTGAGTATAGAGGTTTGGGTCAATATCCAGATTCTCTATTCTATTCCACAGATCCGTATGTCTGTTCTTATGCCAATACCAGGCTGTTTTGAGAACAGTGGCTTTGTAATACAGCTTGAAATCTGGTATTGAGATCTCACCTACTTCATTCTTCTTTTTCAGGATTGCTGTGGTTACTTGGGGTCTTTTATTGTTCCAGATGAATTTTTTGAAAGTTCTTTCTAGATCTATGAAATATGCCCTTGGTATTTCAATGGGGAGTACATTGAACCTATAAATTGCTTTGGGAAATATGGACATTTTGATGATGTTGAATCTACCAATTCATGAACATGGTATGTTCTTCCATCAGTTTACATCTTCCTCTATCTCTTTTATCAGTGTCCTGTAACTTTCCAGGTATAGGTCTTTTACCTCCTTAGTTAAGTTTATTCCTAGGTATTTCAATATTTTTGGTGTGATGGTAAATGGGATTGCTGTTTTAGTCTCTGTTTCTGTTAAGTTCACTATTGGTGTATAGAAATGCCACAGATTTCTTGGTTTTAATTTTATACCTTGCTATCTTGCCTAATTTATTTAAGTGTATTGTTTTTATGATGTAATCTTTCACATTTTTTATGTACAATATCATGTCATCTGCAAATAAGGACAACTTTACTTCTTCTTTTCCAATTTGGATGCCTTTTATTTCTTCTTGTCTAATTGAAATGGCTAATACTTTCAGTACTATGGCCAACAGGAGTGGTGAGAGTGGGAATCTCTGCCTTGTTCCTGTTTTTAGAGGAAATGGTTTTAGTTTTTGCTCATTGAGTATGATGTTTTCTGTAGGTTTACCATATATAGATTTCATTATGTTGAGGTTTGATTCTTCTATTCCCATCTTGTTGACAATTTTTATCAAGAAAGGGTGTTGGATTTTGTCCAATGCCTTTTCTGCATCAATTGATATGACTATATGATTTTTATCTCTCAATTTGTTTATGTGATGTATCACGTTTATTGATTTGTGAATATTGTACCATCTTTGCATTCCTGGGATAAGTCCCACTTGGTCATGGTGTATGGTCTTTCTGATGTATTGTTTGATCTAATTTGCTAGAATTTTGTTGACGATTTTGTATCTATGTTCATGAGGGATATTGGCCTGTAATTCTCTTTTATTGTGTTGTCTTTATTTGGTTTTGTTATTAGGGTATTGTTGGCTTCATAGAAGTAGCTTGGAAGTGTTTCTTTCTCTTGAATATTTTTAAATAGTCTGAGGAGGATAAGTTTCATTTCTTCCTTGAATGTTTGATAACATTCCCCTGTGAAGCCATCTGGAATAGGCTTTTTTTTTTTCTGAAGTTTTTGATGACTGCTTCAATTTATTCCACAGTTATTTGCCAATTGAGCTGTTTAGATTCTTCCTGATTGAGTTTTGCAATATTATATTTTTCTGGGAATATGTCCATTTCCTCCAGACTGTCCAGTTTTTTTGGAATAGAGTTGTTCATGGTATTTTTAAACAATCCTTTGTATTTTGGTGGGGTCTGTTGTTATAATATTTCGCTTTTTTCATTTCTGATTTTGTTTGTTTGGGTACTCTGTCTTTTTTTCTTGGTGAGCCTGGCTAGAGGTTCATCAATCTTGTGTATCCTTTCAAAGAACAATCTCTTGGTTTTGTTGATCTTTTGTATTGTATCTTTGGTCTCTATGTAGTTTATCTCTGCTCTGATCTTTATTATTTCCTTCCTTCTTCTTACAGTGGGCTTTTCTTGTTCTCTTTCTAACTCTTTGAGTTGTAGCATTAGGTAATTTGTTACCATTGTTTCTTATTTTTTTGCAGTAGGCTTGTAGAACTATAAACTTCCCTCTGAAGATTGCTTTCACTGTGTCCCATAGAGTTTGTATTGTTGTGTTTTCATTGTCATTTGTTGCCATGATGTTTTTTATTTCTTTCTTGATTTCTTTGGTAACCAAGTCATTGTTTAATAGCATGCTGTTTAGTCTCCATGTGTTTGGTTTCTTTGGATTGTTTTTATTGTATTTGATTTCCAGTTTTATGCCACTGTGATCTGAGAAGATGCTTGACACAATTTTGATCTTCTTGCATTTGTAGAGACTTTGCCTATGACCCAACATATGATCTACCTTGGAAAATGACCTATGGCACTTCAGAAGAACATATATTCTGTGGCTTTTGGGTGAAATGTTCTGAAAATATCAATTAATTCGATCTGGCCTACTGAGTCATTTAGGATTGATGTTTCTTTGCTGATTTTTTTTTGTTTAGAAGATTTGTCCAATGGTGATAGTGGGGTATCAAAGTCTCTTTCTATGATTGTATTGCTGTCAATCTCTCCCTTGATATCCTCCAGGAGATTTTTTTAAATGTATTTTGGTGCTCCTGTATTAGGTGCATGTATGTTTACCAGACTTATTTCTTCTTGTTTGATTACTCCCTTTAGCATTATAAAGTGGCCTTCCTAATCTTATGTCCTTCGCTTTGAGATCTAATTTGTCAGGTATAAGTATGGCTACCACAGCTGTTTTTTCATTTCTATTCACCTGAAAAACCTTTTTCCATCCCTTCATTCTCAGTCTGTGTGCCTCTTTTTTTCTGAGCTGGGTTTCTTATAGACAGCAAATAAATGGGTCTTGTTTTCTTATCCAATCCATTACTGTATGTCTTTTGATTGGGGCATTTAATCCATTTACTTTTATAGTTATTATTGATAGGTACTTATTTGTCGCCATTTTTATTCTTTACCCCTGTGTAACTTCTTCACTTCCTATTTATTTTTTTTATTTTATTACAGCAAACCATTTAGCATTTCTTCTATTGCTGATTTGGTGGTAATAAATTCCCTTAGTCCTTTCTTGTCTGTGAAGCTCCTGATTTTATCTTTAATTTTTATTGATGGACTTGTTGGGTATAGTATTCTTGGATTCAAACCCTTTCTTTGCATGACTTTGTATATTTCATTCCATTCCCTTCTGACCTGTTGAGTTTCTGTTGAAAAATCAGTGGATAATCTGTTGGGAGTTCCTTTGTATGTGACTTTCTGTCTCTCTCTGGCTGCCTTTAGAATTCTTACTTTGTCATTGGTGTTTAGGACAAGGTTTAGGACATGTCTATATATTCCACTACCATTTTTTCCTATTGTGTGTCATGTGTTTTAATCTACTCTGCCAATTTCTGTCTTTTAATAGATGTGTAGCCAGTAAACACACTCTCTTCCCTAGTGGCCTGGATTTCAGCCATAGTGGGATGTAGCTGTCCCTGGAATCCTTGGATATTCCTTCCTACATTCTTAGAGATTCTCTGTGCCCCATTCTTACTCAAACAAAGATCAATAATCAAGTGTTTCATTGCTCACACTAGACACTTGGCTATTTTTTCCCCCTCATTTATGTTGATCAGTGTCCATTTTCTTCCTCAGCAAAGTGACAATGGTAAAGTTTTTCTGTTTGTTCCTTGCAAAAGGATATTGACAAATGGGCAAGACCAAAATCAAGATTCCCTATTAGTACCTCTCCTGGGATCTGTCCTAACCTTTGAACCACAATGCCTTTGGCAGTCAAGGAGACATCGAGTCTCATCACTTGGCACTTGTTGTCATTCTTTTTTTTTAATATATATTTTGTTGTTGTTGTTTTTTTAAAAATATTTTATTGATTTTTTTTTTTTTTTTACAGACAGGAAGACAGAGGGATAGAGAGTTAGAAACATTGATGAGAGAGAATCATTGATCAACTGCCTCTTGCACACTCCCCACTGAGGAGGTGCCCTCAACCAAGGTACATGCCCTTGACCGGAATTGAACCTTGAACCTTTCAGTCTGCAGGGCAACACTCTATCCACTGAGCTAAAACGGTTTTGGCTTGTTCTCATTCTTATTCCCATGGTTTCTAGGTTGTGAGTCTTTCAGTCCTAAATGAACACAACTGTTGCAGTTTATTTTCCAGATATATATATATATATCTTTAGTGAAATAAGGGCATCAGGGACCTGGGAATCTATGTCTGTGAAGGCACTAGCTGGAGGATACTGTGGAGAAATTATCTGAATTTACCCCGTAGTTTTGAGGTGGGCTTGAGTTTGTGTGTGAAGGTGGAGATGCTGGGGACATCACAAGTGGGGTTGGCCAGATGAGCCAAGGTCTCAGTGGATCATAGAGACTTAGATCTCCAGTTAAAGTTTTCTTGGTCTTGTAGAAGTCTCTTCATTCAAGCTGCTAAAAGACATGAATGGAGACACAGGGGGAGACATTCCTTTCTGGGAGAGATGCACAGTTTAATGTCTTGTCTTCTTATGGACACGCACCCCAAAGGGTATGTGTGGAGGGGAAGGGTGTGTGTGTGTGTGTGTGTGTGTGTGTGTGTGTGTGCGCACATGCACATTTGGGTGTATGTGTTTTTGCAGGATTTAGGAATTACATTTTTCAATGGGCATAAAGGCAAATGAACAAACATCTACAAATATTGATTTCCGTAAACACAACATGAATGTCCAGGGCATTTGTTCATACAGTTCAGATTCAATTGCCTCTGGACTGACGCTTTGTGTTCACTATTGTCCTTGGTTCTCAGGGGAGACCAGGGATGATCCCAGGCTCTGGGACAGCAGCCTGAGGTCAGTAGAAAATAGGCAAGAGCAACAAAATTTGTTGGTCTCCAGTAAGAAGAGCTCAGGAATGGCCAGGTCCCAGGGGCTGGTTTGGAAGGAGATGGGAGCAGGCAGGATTTTTGTCTTTGGGTTGGTAGGTTACTACAAGATGAGGGACACAAGGAAAGCCTGTGGGCCCCGGAGGCATAGACTCCAGGGAAGAATGTGATTGTCGGGTGATGGTTCAAAGTCATATATATATATATATATATATATATATATATATATATATATATATATATATATATATATATATACATATATATATATATATATATATATATATACTCTGTCACTCAGTATGGATGGACCTCAACTATGGCCTCTGGACTACAGCTGGCAACACAGGAGCAGGAAGCCCAGCAGCACAGTTGTGTGCAGTTTCCATGCTGCCATTCACATGTGTAGCCAGCACAGGAGCCCGTATCCTCATCGCCTCCACACGCAGCCCACCAACTTTGCTGCCACCAGTGACAGATGCTCCCCAGGGCTTCAGAAAGCCAGCACCTGCTCCAGGAAGTACACAATGTTGAAGTAGGGGTAACCTGAGTGGTCCAGCACCAGTCGCTCCACCAGCACCAGTAGCTCTTTCACTGGGGCCTCCAGGTTGCTGCCCACCTTCCAGTTGTCTGATGTGCCCCCTTCAATCATCTACCACAGCCCACAGCTCAAGATTGTCACTGTGGTGCAGGAAGAACTGCAAAGAGTCCCAGCTCAGGTCTTGCTTGCATGTGAACAGCAGGATGGCTCATGCCACCATCTGTTCCTAAATAGCATCTTGAGCTACCTCATGGCCTGCTGGTCTTACACAGTGAAGCAGCCCAGTTAAGTAGCCAGGATCAGCTCTTTGGGGCCAAGGTATGGACAGCAAGTAGCATCTTCTCACTCCGCATAGTCTGACCTTGGGATTAAGGACCTAAAATGATCCGGGGTGTCCATGAGTTCCACATGCCACCTGTCTCATCTGCTGCTCCCCACATCAAAGGTTCTGGTCACCTAAGTGGCTGTGAGTCTGAAGTGGAAGTGCCTGTGGCCAAGGATTTTGTTCCCAGTGGGGCTCTTCCCAGCCCCTGTCTTCCCCACCAGGATGAGCCTCAGCATGGCCTGCATGGTGTCTTTGGAACCTGGAAGACAAATCATCTGTGAGCTTCCAAAGCTTAAAGCAACATATCCTGGTTACCTGAACCCGAAAGCCCTTGGAACAAGAACAATGTCTTAACTCTGCTTTCTAACCAAAGCCTTACTGAATTCAGGCAGATCTTCACCAAGTATCCCTGTCACCCCGGTGTAGCCATGTTCACCTCTAGATGCTCAACAACTGGAGGATATTACTCTAAGGGATCTCCCTCCTCATTCCAGACATGACCTCACCTCCATTATCCCTGGTGGTCCACACCTTCCAGAGCTGTCTTTATTTGAGGCTTCGGTGGCCTCTGCTATACTTCTCCCAGATTCCAGCCCAGGGAATATGGTCAGGAAGGGTCAGTATCCTGGGGATAGAGAGCTACCTGGAGTCCCAAACACTCTGGGTTTGACTCACAGTCCCACCATTGAACAGTTGTGTCACCTCAGAAGTTGCTTAATCTAAAAGTTAAACCTTTATGCTAAAATGGGATTAAGAGTACTGAGTTGTTTATTCTGGGGTTATTGAGAGGATTAAATGAGATCACTTTCTTCCATCTTTCTTCTCTCTCTCTCTCCTCATCACTCCCCTTCTTGTTAAACCTACTTCCTGCTAATAAGACACCCATTTAACCCTCCATCCTAGATCTCTAACCTTCTACCTGGTTAATCACACTCCATCAAGTGCATGATCTGATGCTCTCTTCATCTTCTTCTACGGAGATCAGAATAGGTTTATTATCCTCATTTTATACTTGAGGAATGGAATCGTAAGCTAATCAAGTTCAGATCTCCCAGCTGGGCAGGGGCACAGACCCAGTTAAATGCACATTCAGGGCTCTTACTGTTTCACCTCAAACATGTTTGGGGTCATCTGTTTAGTCCTGAGTTTGCCCATTTCCCCTCACAGAACTCACACCAGGGGGCAAGTATGCACATATTCTTATCATATGCATTTTCTTCATGTCTCCTTTCCTTCCATTTTCACCCCAAAGAATCCCAAACACAATTTCATTCATTCATTTATTAAATAGGTTTAACTACCTGTAATATATCAGGCCAAATCCAAAAAGCTAGTGACACCTCACAGACACAGTTGTGCTTCCGGATTCCCCAGAATGTCAGAATAGAAGAAAGAACATTGGAAGGACTTGGGCTGGCTTTGGAATGATACTGTGACAGGGTCTGGAGATTTTGGTTTTGTCTTTTCAAGGACATCAAATTCAAAGGGCAGACAAGAGGTTGTAACTATTAAGGTAGTGAGAAAGCTATAGATATTAAATTTTAGAGGTAAATCTATATTAGTGACCAAAGCTGTAGATACTAAGTTTTCCCAGGAGATTCAGCAGCCAGGGGAGTCTTTGAAAAACCATGAGAACTAGAACATTTGGCAGGGCCAAGGGAAACACAGGGGTGGTTGTCATCTTGTATACAAAAAAGAAAAAAACTGGAGTTTTGGTTTTGGAAATTGGAGAAGAAACCTATATCCCAGGTGATCTGCAGCCACTGACTCTGCTCTGGGAGTCAAGTCACTGTCCTGTCTCAATGTTTCTAAATATGTTCAGTGTCCTGGAGAGACTGGGACACTCCCCTCCCATTCCTGACATCCTGGCCCAAAGCTGAGGCTTCTCCAAGTAAAGTGTCTCCACCCAATCAGTCAGTATTTAATACAATCAAACATTCTATGCTCACCAAGTCCCTGTGCACAGGGCAGTCTGTCCTCTTTCTGCCTCTCCAGCCTCAGGACAAGGAAGCCCCTCATTCACATGTTCCCCAGAGAGCAGTTGTCAGGCCTTTGTCTAGCTGCCTTGTGCCCTCAGCCTGTGACTGTTTCAGCCTCCCCCACACTCTGTCTGAGTCCTGTCTGTGCTTCACCTTCCACTTCTATTTCCACCTCTTCATGCTGTCCACCTGGTTACCACAGGTGACTGTTCTCTCCACTTGGCACCGCACAAGGAGAAGACAAGGGAGAGGCAGGCTGAATACCTTGTCTCTGGCCAAAGGACTTAGATGATGGGCTGGCCTGGTCCTCAACCCAAAGGTGTTCATATTTCTTCAGGAATTACCCCCACATTCAAAACCTTCACACTGTTCACCCCCATGGAAATCAATACACTCCCATGATTGGCACCAGAGCAGAAATGGAACAAGAGCCACAGATGCAAAGGCTGGGAATTTTTCTAATGCAAGGAATCCTGGCCAAAGGTGGAGATGAGAAAATTCAGGGAACTGACAGTACTATGAGCAAATTGGGATTTAGGGGGTTCCTAGACAGGTCCAGAGAGCTGAAATCTGGGGTTAGAAACACATACTATCATAGAGGAATGGAAACCATGTGAGATCTTATATGTTAAACCTCCAAGGGACTGAGTCTATTCACCTAGTCGAGGGCTTCCTGAACCTCCTTTCTCTGGGAATTGCAGGGTTTCCCAAAGTGTGGTACGCATACCCCCAAGGGTATGGGAAGAGTTTGGTGGGGATACGCTTTGCACTGGAGTTGGGTGGGGATATGCACTGCACTGTGCTTAGCTGCGCCTAATTCTGTGTTCTCATGAGTACGAGGGGTACTCAGCATTACAAAAATTATAGAAGGGGTACACATATGTCAAAAGTTTGGGAAACACTGATCTATGCCTGCAGTCCCCAAACCCAACGCCAGGTAGTGGCATGGTCTGAGGTCCTCAAGCTCAGGCTTGGGCAGAGGGTGTGCCTTGAGGTCCCCCATCAAGCCCTGCCTGGTTGAGAACTCAGCTTGTGGTTCCCCAGCCTGGCCCTAGCTTGGGGGCATGCCTGAGGTTCTCTGCCAGGTGGGGGGCACAGCCTTAGGTCCCTGCTGATTGCTCATTACAGCTTTATTACAGGAGCTCAGCCTCTGCTCTGGGTGCTGCCAGCTTAGATAGGATGGTGTTATTTCTTACATAAATAAATATACTTTTTTTAACATTTTTCTTGACCTTTAGGAAGGTAGAGGAAGAGACAGAAATATCAATTGGCTGCTTCATGCATGCCACCATAGGAGATTTAGCCCACAACCCTGGCATGTGTCCTGTGAGGAATGAAACCAGCAAGCTCCCAATTCATGAGACAAAGCCCAACCAACTGAACCACACTGTCCAGGGCAATATATTCTATGTTTTATAATTTACAAAATTATACTTTTTGTTTATTTTCACTCCCTTCAAGAAACACTGGAAGATCCAGAACAAGAAACATTATTTGCTATAATTAACTGATATATCCAAATGCTTAGAACAGTGCCTGGCACATAATACGCTCTCAATAAATATTGAATGAAAAGTATGGTATATTTCATTTGCTATTTTGTTCTTATTGGTTTAGAATTTATTTGCCTATACTTTTGTTTCCAACTGTTCTCTGTTTTTTTGTTTAAATTTTTTTGCAATCCACTAAAAAAAAAAGTGTGTGTGTGTGTTTTAACTGAAACCATTAGTGCATTTATAATAATTATAATTTCTGATCTATTTGGATACATATATAAAATTTTATTTTTTGCTTTCTACTTGTCCAAGCTGTTTCATACTTTTTCTCCCTTCTTCTTTGTGGTGAATTTGGATTATTTGGGTAAATTTTCAGTCTATATTTCTCTTTACTACTTTGGAAATTATATACACTTCTTTTCCTAATATTTTAGTAGCCATCTAGTGATTGTAACATATATTTTTAATTTATCAAAATCTAAAGGTTATATATATATATATATATATATATATATATATATATATATATAACAAATTGAACATTTTAATTCCAATCCCATTCTCCATCCCTATCCATATATTATTGTGCATTTCCATTTAATTTTTTTCCTTTTAAAATCATATTTAAATCCTATTTTCTATTATTTTGTACAGTTTAAGTTAGTTTAGATTTAATCTTTTTTACCTCTGATTTACTACCTGGTATAATTTTCTACTTGTCCCAAGTACATTCTTTAGAAATTCTTTTAATGAGGTTGTGCTGGTGGCAGGAAGTCTTATCTTTGTTGTCTGCAATGTGCTTATTTTGTCTTTATTTCTGACAGCTAT